TATTAATGGGAGATACTTTGAAAAAGATTGTTTTATGATCTTCTATTAGGGAATTTGCAATTCATTTTAATATTTGTAGTTTGATTTATATTAAAGATAATGCAATCTATGTCCAATTAACAATACATGGCCAATGTAATGTGATTTCCAGATCATGCAAATGGAATAAGCTAGAAGAGGTGGGGGGGGGGCGCGCAATTCTTAACCTCAGATGTAATTTGCTGTGCTAGTTCTGGCAATTTTAAATGACATTGCACTTTTTAATTTTTCCAAAGGCTCAGCAGCAAATTTATCCCAATCAAGAAAGCCTATTATTAATTTACAAGGACAATTGTAGGAGTCTTGATAATTTCTTTGTGCAATTATTCGCTATAAATCGCTTGTGGTAAAATACCAGGCGTTTGCAAGAAATAACGACTATTGTTTGTCTCAGGTTCGAGCCCTCTCCTCCAATACTGAGCACCTTCCCCAGTCCTGGACGCTCAGCTCAGTGTGAAACCTCACACGCGGTGGGTGTGAGCGCCGGATGCTGGGGTTCTCAAAGGGGGAGCAGCACCAGAGCTGCTGGGAAGGCGAGCCTGATCTCTAGCAGATTCCTGTACTCGGCATGTATTGCTGAGCTGTGGACCCTGCACTTTTGTATAAAAAGACTCTTTGTTAGCCACTGAATGGCATTAGGCATGGCCTTGCTGAGGGGCCACCATGAAGCCTCGCATGAGGAGGGCAAACACTAGCCAGAAAGCACAATGCAAGAGTCATGGACACATCACTGCATTTTTGTGGGGGGAAAAGAAGAAATTGCATCTTTTCACACATAATTTTGCTAGCAGTTGGGTATTTGGTATTTTCCTAGCCTATGTTTCCTTGTCACTGAACTAGGATGGCTTTTGTTTTCTCTCTCGTCTATCTAGCTAGTTCGCTTTCTCTGTCTGTCTGTCTGTCTGTCTGTCTGTCTGTCTGCTACTCTTGCTTATGTGAATGGAGAGAAAGAGATTATGCTTGATATCCAGGAAAGAGATGTAAACTTCTCAATATAATAGCTGCATCAGTCTACTTTTTAAAAAACTTTCCTAACATGAACCCAGTTAAAAGTAATAGTGGTGCAAGATGTACATAAACACTCAAGCCTGGATGACCTAAAGTCTGGCAGACCCCTGTTAATAATCGAGAAAACGCTTTGGTTTAATTCCTGTGTTTCTCGTAGCCAAGCTCCACTCTGCGTTCAGCAATGTCTGGTCTCTTTTCAGCATAACCAACAGAAGCACCATACAAAAGTCTTACAATGGATGTCTTAATCTCTCTGTGTGCTTTTAGAGCGTTATTTTGAATTCCATCATGCTGCCTTTTTTCTTTCCTCTTCTGAAGTTTTATTACAACAGCAGAATTCCCAGGGAGCTTTGAGGGCAAGGTTCACATAATGTAGCCCTGAAGTTTTGCTGAGGTGGAGTCCACCCCCCCATCCTGGCCATCTTTTGATGATCTTTCTATTTCAAAAAGATTCACTGTGTAGAGTCTTACAGCATTAGCTGTAGGTAGTTTATTTTATATATTTTTTATTTACTAGACAGTGAGCATCTACCCCCCTTTCAGGATGCTTTCTTTCTCTGACCTCTCAGTGACAGGCCATCTTGTTCTTTAACATCGAGGAGGCAGAAAAAATGCTTGAGTTGCTCAATGTGTGCCTTCTATACCAGGTTCAAAATGGCTTATTCTTCTGGTTTCCATGGTGACAATTAACACTGTTTCAAGGCATTGTTCCAGTCTCCATTTGGGCAGAATTTTCGGTGTGATTTTTAACAAAAAAACGAAGAAGAAGAAGAAGAAGAGGAAAGGAAGAAAGAAAGAAAAAGATTTGGGGGGCTGTCTTTAGCATAACTGTCAAAAAATAGTTATCTCAATCAAGTCTTCGTGCATTTCTGAGCATATTTATTTCAGAAATCCCTATTTTTTTGCTGGCTTTGTCATATAACTCATTTTTTAACATTTTTCTCTTTAAAAAGTTAGCACTGAGGGAAAATATTCTTAAAAAAACGTTGTCACTTCTTAGTTAAAACAATGTACTAATGTTTGTGGTTATTTTTAATTATTTTAAAAGATATATACATGTATATATTATGACTTTAACATAGGGCATGTAAAAGTGGGCTGTGTCTTTAATTTAGACCATTCACATATCTACTAGGCAGCTTCATTAGGCAAAATTGAATTGACCAAGCAAATACACTTAATAATGTAAATATGCCCTTTCAATAGAGTATATTTTATTTTTGGCTAGACAGAGAGGCCCACAGCAGGTGCTGTGGAGAAATTCAATACTGGATGCTTATTTACCTTAGCACTCAAGAAAAGCCATCTGACTTCAACTTTGCTAATCTCATTTTTGGCTATTGAAGAGTAGTCTGTGTCACAACATCCCCAGACGACAGGCCACAATAGGGTAGTCTTTGCTCACTTTACTGCTGTGGGTGGAAGGAATATGAAGATTAAATTATTTTCTCACCACAGGATAAAGTAACCCTGCTTGATAGGATGGCGCAGACCAGAAAAAGCTGGCGGTTGATTCTCCCCAGCTAATGTTTCTGAAAAGTTGGTCGAGAGAGAAGAGCAAAAACTAGTCACATCAACAAAACACACCTCTCCTGACAGCACTGCATGCCCAGCTTTAGACCTTAAATCGTATCAGGTTCAACCTCTAGAGTGCTTCCAAAATCAAAATAATTATTTTCACCATCAATTACAAGACATTCTACTACCTTTCATTCACATACCAGGACAACTAACAACGGAATTGGATCTCTCAACTTGCACAGTTTGGAGGCGTTGTCCATCATTCACATCTTCATCCTGCTGTTTATATTGCAGGTTACATAATGACAAAGCGAGAGCCTATATAAGATGAACTTTTTAAATCTAATCATCTTTTATCATAGCTGGTGCAGACCATTTCTACGACATTTCACAGAGAAAGTTATTTTATTATGTTTAAAATTAAAGTTACTGCTTTTAATATTCTTATTATTACAAGACTATCATTTTCATGGTACACATCTAAGCTTGTTTTCTTTCTAGACTGATCTGCTATATAGGAGCCATTCGAAGTTGGGGTAACAAGCTGGGCTATGAACTGGTTACAAGTTCAAATGACAACTGGTCTAGGATGCTGCCAGGTGGCCCTACCAGAGGCAGTCCATTAATTCATGTGGCATAAGTAAAGGGTTTGAATGGGATTCCTCTGCTTGCCTGAAATATTGGCTTTCTCGATCTGATGTCAATGTTTTACAGAATTAATTATGTAAATCTTTGTCAGTTACAACATCTTTAGATGGAAATCTGATTACATAAAGCAGATTGTCCTCCCCTCCAATCATCACTCTGATGAATAAAACACTATATTTCTAGAAAACTTGTTGAATATTGAATCCAGAAAACTCAAGTGGACAGTCTGTTCCCTAAATGTCGGGGTAATGTGGATTTAGTAATTGCCTGTAGCTAGGAAACTCAATCAGAATTTCCCAAGTATCACATACCAAATTCTAAAATCGCTGTAAAGCAACCCTTGATTTTTTTCCCTACTATGCATATTCATGCAATTTTGGATACTCTAACACCCTGATCAACATTCATTAATAACATGAAATGCTTTAAATCACCTCATTTAAAACATTTTTGTTCTGTGAGCCACAAATGACTAACATTTGGAGAAGTTTACATAATACAAATGATGTGCATGTTTAGTGTAAATGAAAGATTAAAATATGAAACTAAAAGTATGCAAACATATGCATGCAAATGCTGGAGAGCTATTAACTGAAACCGATTTCGCACCTTCTTTTCTTTTAAGCAGCTTCCAACTGTATCTTGGTTTGAGATTTTATTTATTTTTTTATTTTTTGTTGAGATTTTATGTAATATATTATTAATACAATGAAAAACTCAGCCAAGTGTTAGAGCGCACTTTGAATTTGTTGCTTTGGCCCAGACAAAAGCTGTTCTTATTATCTGACAAGAAGGCTTCTCTTACCTCCTTTAGGGCAAAAGACAACACTACCAAGGACTTGAGTGACCTCACTCTGCACCCTAAGGAAAGAGTTTGGGAATTGCCCATTATGTTTTAGAAAGGTGCTAAACGTGGTAAAGGGGCTTAATATCTTTATACCTAATTTTTAAACCTAGTTTCTCTATTCAGAGGTGTTCTTATATATGCATTTTAAAAATACAGTTCCAGGAACTTATAGTCATTCAGCATATAGAACTTTCTAATGATGAGGTTACCTAAATAGAGTTATTTGAAGAGAATCACCATAGTAACTGTCATATTAAACGGCACTTACATTATCTCTAACAAAACATCTTTTAGGAGAGACTCGGCTTGGCAGTTTGTCAGATGCAATGAATATTGAGGGAGAGGATTTTGTAGTCAGTTTTGAAATTTGGGGACATGTTATAGTAATCGATAAGGAAGCATAGATTAGTACACATTGCCAAAGCATTTGCTTTCTGTTTTCTCTTTCTATGGGCCTCCTCCCCAAGTCCACTCCGAGTTCTTAAGTAATAGGAAAATGAGAGCAAAATGTGCACTGGGGATTCACTGGGCTTACAGGATAAGAGGGAAGTCGCCTCTCATCTTTCTGGATAAGTGTATTTGTACCATTCAGACTGGTGCTGTGGGGACACAGATGGCTAACTCACCAAATATTAAATGATATTTGAATACTTCTTCATCAGATTTTTTGGTTTGGAACAATCTAAAGATCAAATATGCTGGTAAACTTTGGTTTAAAAAGGCATAAATCGTCATCAACTCCCTGGCATATTCCGATGTTTGTGTATGGGGGTGTGATAATAGTGCTTACGCTGCTTTTGGCGAATCCTCAGTGAATCAAGGTGTTAGCAATTAAGTCTGATCCTAAATTTTATTGGAAACAAAAAAGTTTCAACACTCTGTGTTCAACGGTTTTCTAAGAATAGTAATGAGGGCTCTTTCTCTCTTCTGGTTCTAGCGATACAGTGTGGAAATGTCCATCAGGCACCCGAAAAAGACCGAGCTGCTTAGTAAGATCGAAGCCTTGAAGAAAGGTGGCGTTTTACTACCAGATGATCTCCTTGAAAAAGTGGATTCAATTAAGAAAAAATGGGAACTGCTTGGGGTATTTGCATTTTTATTACTGTTTGTAGGCTATGTGTACATTTTTTTGTGTTGTGAAGTACTCTATCTGTCTGATTTCTAATTTGAGGCACAAATATCTCTCTCTTTCAATTCCCTACCTACATTTCAAACAGCTATTCATGCTATTATGAGGGGAAACACGGCTTTTCCTCTTCTGTTGATTTTTTTTAATTTTTTATTCTGAGCTTGTCTCCTCTCAGATTTTAATAATTTTGGTTCTTTAATACATAAAAAAGTAAGTAATATATGCCATGTATTATGGGCATGCGCCCAGTCAACTATAATATAGTATATCTGATATACACTGACTGTCATGCTTGAATGAATGTTAATAGAATTTCTTCTGAAGGTACATGCTGCAGACATCCACACTTAACTATTTACTGTACCTTTAAGATGAAAAGTGAGGGTGTCAGGACACTTTTCATGTCACACGGAAGCCCGCCAAAACAAAGATGCAAATTTGACCCAAATCTGAATTGCAGAATTAAATCAGCCTCTGTTTCGTGCCTCAATTTCCAGCTCACTTTTAACAAAAGCCACCCCACCCCCAGACACACACAAAAAAAAGTTTTATGTAATTCATTTCACGCAATGATGGGCTGGGTTGCAGCCAAAGATTGAGATGCAAGATTCTGGCAAAAAGGGAATATCGAGATCCTGTTACCCAGAGACCAGGATGGCAATGTGCAGGAGCCAGGACTGTCCTTTCGTTGGGAGACAGCTGAGAGAGAGGTTAAACTATATTTTTTCATCAACTTCCCTCCTAAATTGCCTTCACTTCAAATCAAGGGTAAGCTAAATTTGTCAATTACCTAAATGATTCATTATAATAGCGTAGTATGGGTGGTGTCAGTTAGGAAACATAATTTTGCACGCTTTCCATTTTCTGCCTTTCAAATTTTTTAACAAAATAATACTCTAAAGATATTTTGAATGAAAAGCTATCCATGAACCTTGATGACTTGGAGAAGTGCCAGTGTTCCACTTATGCCATATTTAATCTGGGTGATCTTAAAACACTGCAGTTTCAAGTCCTCGCTTTCTCATCAAAATGCGGAACACTGTGAAATTGAGCAAAGTAACTTAAAATGTTAAAAGTGTTTTCTTCGACCTATTCTTACATTGCTTTTTCATAGCAACGAGTGGCAGCCACTCTATAAAGCTATGACTTAATTCAGAAACTACACTATTTGAGAGTAAGCACTGATCCAACCTGGGTGTGTTACAAATGTGAGTGTGCGATGATATTGTAAGAGGTTGTATACTAAATAGATAAGAGCCTTATCAGTTCAGTAGTTGAAAAGGTGGTCTGTTTGCATTCTATTTGAGTGTCTCTAATACTAATATGATAAATAACTAATAATAGTCTCTGAAAATTGTCTAAAATAGACCACACATGTTGTTTCTTTAAACATTTTAAATCAACATTGTGTATATTACTTTTTTAATGAAATATTTAATTACTGCGTATGGACCTGCTTTCTTTAAAATGGTTGCCATTTTGACAAAAATGTCATTCATATACAACATGCAGAATTTCATAATGATCTTAGGAACGTGTAGGGGTAGAGGGGAGATTTTAACAAAACCTGTGCCACACTAGCACCACGAGGCATACTGTTTTAATTGGCATGATTACATTTTAATTGGCATGGAAAAAAAATCAAAGACAAGGATTTTAACTTCTAACAATAGTAAAATAGAGGGATATGGTTTTTAATATTACTTTCATCTAAGGTGAACAGTGTGGAATGGAGATACATTAGAATGAAATGTCAGTGGTGCGTACAGTTTAATCTGTGAAATTTTGTCCCCTGTGCTGCATATTACTCTGTCTCAATTGCATATTAAACAACCCTATCAAGGCAGGCATTGGCATCTGCTGTGCTGACACAAATTGTGAATTAAATGAAATTGATGTCCTCTGTCGTATATTTATGAAGACGGACCATTCTCTGAAGTATTCTGTTTATGAAGAATTTATGATTGCAAACTGTTCCAGAACAAAAAAGTGGCAATAAATTCTTTTTTGTGACCCTACCCTCCAAGGGCATTGATTTCACCTCCTGCTGCTTTTGTTACAGCATAAAAACAATAGCTAAATCGGGATTCCACTGAGGGTGTGCAAATGATCAATATTTACACCAGGAAAATACAAGGGTGTTGCCAGGAAAGGCCTTTTTTTTTTTTTTCTGTCCTGATCTCCTACAGACACGATGTACAGAACACTACACAGCACATGAATGTCTGTGCATTTCATTTTATTTGGGTTTTAGAACATATTTTGTAGCGTTGATTCATTATCGTAGATGAACTCTTATAGATTCTCCAAAGATCGTGTTTTCAACTATAATCATCACAGTGATAAGGCCACCCTCACAACCACCCTCAGCCTAGTGTGGCTAGTCTAAGGAGGCTTCAAGCACAATAGACCAGAAATTATTTTAACATATATTTTAGGAAGTCCAGCGTCCACAAATGGTGCTTGGGAAATTGTGCGATTGAGCAGTGTCCAAGCCAGGTGAAATTAACAACCGCATCGCAGGGACCACCCTTTTCCAAACCCCACAGCCATACAGTTTGGGAAATAACGTTCATAAAACAAAAGCTGAACTGAACGCCGCATGCACAATCTACGTGTGGCCTCTTCAGTGTATTGATTAAACTCAAGCTTCTATCTCCTGAAAATTTGATACAAGGAAGGATTTTCCTATAAACTCTTATTCATTTGAGGATTCAAATGAATTTTTATCACTGTTCATCGATGAACTTTTTGGGTCAAATCTCCCTTCTGTTAGAAGAAAGTACAAGTGGATGAGGTCTTCTGAAGCCCCCGGTTGGTAGTTAGAATAACACACAGGGTCTGAGAATTTGAATCCCAAATAGATTTACAGTCAGGGATGAGGTGGCAAGGACAGCTGGACCCATTCCAGGTGGCCTTGGTCGCAAGCTTACTACAGTGTTTTTGCTACCTAAACTAATCGGTGTTTTTTGTGTTGTTTTGTTGTTGTTGTTGTTGTCTTACTCTGATGCCTTAGAAAACCCTAGGGGAGAAGATCCAGGAGACAATGGCAGGGCACAATGGGTCCGGCCCACGTGACCTGCTCTCCCCGGAAAGCGGAAGCCTGGTGAGGCAGCTGGAGGTCAGGATCAAAGAACTGAAAGGGTGGCTGAGAGACACGGAGCTTTTCATCTTCAATTCCTGCCTGAGACAAGAAAAAGAAGGAACAACGAGTGCCGAGAAACAGCTGCAATACTTTCAGGTAATAAAAAAACAATCAAAGTTGATAAAAAGCTTTCTTTATGATAGGGATGTAATATTTATCAAGTACATAAAGTATTATATACATGTCTCTATGTATCACTGTGCACTTACATGTCTCCTTGGATTTATAGACACCATCTACATTTCTTATATGCCAATGTCTCTGTGTGTAGAAAGATGCGCGTGAGCACAGCAAACACACGTATAGGGTCAATCTCCGCTGCTCCAGTGTTTGTGCAATGCCTATTTCAGAGAGGACACTGATAAATTAAAATCAAACCAGCACACACTACAGATTCCTGGGGGCCTTAAAAGACAACCCCACATGTTCTAGAAATAACCTGGCGGAAAACACTTGCATAAATTGGTCAGATAAAAGCACATGATTTCATTGAAGGACACTAATGCTAACCAAAGGAAACATAATTTTCACACAAGAGAGAGAATTAACGATTTAGGAGGGAAGAAAGAAAGTAAAAGTCATTTCTACATGGAATCGTCTTTATTTAGAATAATAGCCACCTTATCCACACAGCTGCATGTATGTTCACTGGAGGGCCACGATGAAGGGACGTGGTTTTCAGGTTTGTTCCCATTGTTTATACAATGTCTATTCAAAAGCAGGGTAAGTTGAAATATTTCGCCCCTACTATCCAAGCCAACCTCCTCCTGTTTAAACCCTCCCATCGATACAGTGGTTATTTGAGGTCTCACGTGGGGGGAGGGGGGAGCCTAGAGGAGATTTTTAGGGTTGCAGAATAGGAATGGTAGCAAGCCTCTCGGGCAGGAAAGGTCAGAGAAGAGAAAGAGAAAAATGAAAGAAGCTCTAGGGACTGAGCATTCATTTCTTCTCATTGCCTCCTCAGTCTAGATTTTATTCATCCCAACTCTCTGCCCTGCGATCACCCAAAAGCCTGTCAGTGAATTTAGCCCCTTAAGTTCTTCTTCCAGACACCCAGGCTCAGCTTAACAAAACGGAGCACATAAACAAAAGAGGAGGCATCCTTCAATGTAGGTCTCCCATGCTGGTGTTGTTGTTAGGCACCTTCAGGTCGGTTCTGACTCACAGCAGCCCTGTGTCCGATAGAACAAAACACTAGCCAGTCGTGTGCCGTCCCCCCCCCCGCAATTCTCTTGGAGACTGTTGTCGCAGCCACCGTGCCAGTCCAGCTCATTGAGCACCTTCCTCTTTGCTGCTGCCCTGCTACTTCGCTAAGCATGATGGCCTTTTCCAGGAACGGGTCTCTCCCGACAACCATGTCCAAAGTACATGAGATGAAGTCTCTCCGTTGTTGCGTCTCAGGAGCATTCTGACTCTACTACTTCCAGATCAGAATTGTGTATTCATTTGGCAGCCCATGGTACTTTCAATATTGTTCATCAGCACCTTAATGCAAAGACATCAGTTCTTCCTTGGTCTTCCTTAGTCAATCCTCAACGTTCACATGCATGTTGAAATGGAAAATACTGTGGCTTGTGTCCGGAGCAAGGTGACACCCTTGCACTTCAGCGCTTTAAAGAGGTCTTGTATAGCAGATTTGCCCAAGGCAGTGCATCATTTGATTTCTTGACTGCTGTTTCCGTGAGCCTTGATGGCGGGTTCAAGCAAGATAAAATACTTCATATCAGTCTTTTCTGTTTATCATGAAGCTACCTATTGGTCCAGTTGTAAGCGTTTTGGTTTTCTTTACATTGAGTTGCAATCTGCACTGAAGACCTCAGTCCTAGGTTTTCATGAGCAAATGGTTTGAGTCCTCTTCACTTTCAGCAACCAAGGTTTGACATCGGGATACCAGTGGTGGTTGAAAAGCCTTTCTCCAACGCTGGTGCTTTGTTCTTTCTCATGTCCTCAAGCTTCTTGGGGTATTTTTTCAGCATGCAGATTGTGTAAGTATGGTGATAGACTAACACCCAGACGCACACACCTTTCCTGATTTTAAGCCATGTAGCATTCCCATATTGTCATCAGATGGAAGAAGTACAAGCTGCACTCAAGCATTAGCAAAAACAAAATAGACAGAAGACTCATTGAAACGTTTCAACAAGCTGATGAAGTTCTGGAAGCATTTGCTCACCTATACTAAGAATTTTGAAAGACAGCTACCTGGCCAACTGACTGGAAGAGACCTCTATTTGTACTCATTCCAAAGAAAGGTGACCCAACAGAAAGCAGAAATTTCAGACAATATCGGTAACCTCACATGCAAGTAAAATTTTGCTGAAGAGCTTTCAACAGTGGTAGCATCAGTACATTGACAGAGGGCTGTTGGAAGTTTAGGCCAGTTCAGAAGAGGACATGAAACAAGGGGCATTCTTGTTGACGTCACATGGATCTTGGCTTAAAGCAGGAAATACCAGGAAAAAATGTTTACCTTAAAATTGTTTCAGATCATTAGCTGGTCCCAAGGAGTCCCGCGCATCTGCTGAAGTTGCACAAATACTTCCCAGCCACTAGGGGCATGATTCACTACACCTAACTCCTTATTTGCCAAGGACCCTTTAGTGCTTGAAAAGAATCCTGGACCACAAATATCTACGGCCATACATATATAACTATAGGTAGGTATATAATATCTCTATTTCTAGATTATATACATACATATATAGAGAGAAACAGATATTTTCCAAGTACATCTATAATATATATATAATCCTGGACCATATATCTCTTGATCTCAATATTGATGGTCCAGGATTTTATATGTGTGTGTGTGTGTGTGTGTGTGTGTGTGCGCGCGCTGGTGGAGCTTTTATAGTACCCCTTTTCCCTCCAACAAGGTGAGCATCCAGTCACTTACTCTGAGTTAGCACACCTAGGGGGGGTCACCTGGGAAAGTTCTCTCTAGTCACAGTGAATTTTTCTGTAAAAGCAGTTTCACTCCAACCTTGTCTGTGTGTGTGTGTGTGTGTGTGCTAGTGATGTAAGTGTGTGTGTGTGTGTGTGTGTGTGTGTGCGCGCGCGCACTGGCCTATGTAAGAGAACAGCATGGGGCTATGAAATTTTGTTTCCTGCTCTGGAAAAATGCCACAGAAACGGTTGTGATGTTGAGCACAGCTTACAAGGACAGCGCTGTGGGAAAAACTCAAGTGTAAGAGCAGTTTTCAAGTTTCAAAAAAGGTGAAATGTCAGTTGATGACAAAATCATTCTGGATGTCTCCCAATTTCCCAAATGGCCAAAAATATCACAATGATCTACCTATAACCCCCGCCTAGGGGGTACAGACAACAGAAAAGTGGGTGAAGGGAGACATTGGTCAGTGTAAGACATGAAAGAATAATAATCATTTATAAATTATCAAGGGTTCATGAGGGAGGGAAGGAGGGGGGGATGGGGAGTTGATACCAAGGGCTCAAGTAGAAAGAAAATGTTTTGAAAATGATGATGGCAATAAATGTACAAATGTGCTTGACACAATGGCTGGATGGATGTATGGATTGTGATAAGAGTTGTATGAGCCCCCAATAAAATGATTTTTTTTAAAGGAAATAATGTCAACAACATCCATGTACTTACGATTGAAGACTGATGACAAGGGACCATTGAGGAGATGGGGAAGTTATCTGAACTCTCTTGGCTATCTGGATGATCTTGGAGCTCAGTTCAGCGAATTTTAATGGCAGATTTGGGAATGAGAAGGGTTGCAGTGAAAGTTGTGTCTCGGTTCGGGCTGACCCGGAAAAAGGGCGTCCAATGGAAACATGCTGTGCTTGGTGCGAGCAGGTCCAAAGCGACCCAGACTTTTCCCCAAAGGTCGTTAGTGGTGAGGAGACGTGGTGCTATTCCTACAACCCTGAAAGCAAGCATCAGTCAAGCCAGTGGAAGATGCCATTGTTACCTGGCACCCCAAAAGCTAAACAATGCTCGTCAAGGGAAATCAAAGATCATTTGTTTTTGAGATGTGAGGGGGTAGTGCATTTGGAGTTTGTTTTACCAGGTCAGACTGTTAATCAAGCTTTCTATTTAGAGGTTCTGAAATGATTGCATAACAGTGTGAGACCTAAAAGGCCTGATTTGTGGCAGATGGGGGACTAGTTTTGCCACAGCAGTGCACCTACTCATGCTGCCATATCAGTGTGTCAGCTTTTGGCAAAAAACCCCAGCATGCCTCTCTTGTCCCACACACCTCACCTGACCTTACTCTGTGCAACTTCCTTTTGTTTCTGTGAATGAAGAGGGACAGGAAAGGACAGTGATTTGAAGATGTAGGAGAGGTAAAGAAAAAATCAAGAGAGGTACTGTCAGCCATCCAAACAGATGCATTTGAAAAATGATTCCAAGAATGGAATCACAGATTTGACAAATGTATTAAGTGTAATTGAGAATACTTTGAAGGTGATAAGGTTGTTTCGTAAAAAAAATTTAAATACATAGCTTTGAAATTTTTTTCCTGTTTTTTGGGGTACCCCCTTATATTATCTTTTAAGCTTTCCTTTTTATTTAATATTTTGATGCTGAGATGAACTCCTGTTGACTGTGACTGTATAAATTTATTTTGACAGCTATATAATATTCCCCTGTGGGAACATTCACATATTATAAAAGAACCTTATTTAGCAACCCCACGAGGTTGTATTATTATCCTGAGTTTGTAGATAAGGGAAACGAGGCATAGGAAGGTTAAGTCTCATGAAGCCAAGGTTACATATGGGTTGTAGCACATGGGTTCAAGGGCAGGACTGCCTGACTCAAAAGCCCATTCTCTGAACTACTGTACACAATTGATATTTACTGAGTGTCCTATGTCAAGAGACTGAGAAAAAAAGAGCACAGAACCAAATTTTGTTGTTAATTCATGATAGGTTAATCAGACACCCCCTTCAACAATTTGGTCAGAATGGCAAATAGCTTTAGCTACTGAAGAGCCCAGTAAGTAAACTATTTTTGGTTTTGTGTTGTAGTTTTATACTGTATCTGTGTGAACTTATGTGCCATATACTGTCATATGAGGTTGAAACTTTGCAAAATTGTTGGCATGATGGGGCCCTGGTGACTCTCA